AGAACTCCCCTTTGGTGTTTTGGGTCGAAACCCTAGAGAGAGGATTGAATTCTCTTCCAAAACCAGCTCCCCTTTCTCTCTCCCCGTTGTTGTCTATTTATATAGCCCGGCAGTCAAGTTAACAGTCAGCACTTCACGGTCGTGACATTTAAGCACAAACAGTGACATCGGACAAAGCGCAGTTCACTGGCACCGATTTGGTCCGACATCACGGTCTGATTGAGATTTTCACAGTCAGGTGACCGTGAAAAGAATTTGGCATGCGAGGCGCGCAAACCATTCTGGAAACTGACAATGTCATGGTTTGGGCTCATTTTTCACGTCATGGAGACCTTGACATTTGACCTCTTATCGTGACCTTGGACTATTGTTCACTTTTTCGTGCTTTTCTACCTCCAATCGTTCTGAAACTCGTCCTCGGCCTTCCAACAAGTGCTAGGACCTGAAATGTAACAAAAATAGCACACCCTAGCGTAAAATAGGTCGTGGACGATGATTTACCTAGTCAAATGGAAAAGAAAAGAGGGGTAAAATGAATACAATTGGACCCAAATCACAAGCTCACACTTGAACCTTTGTTTGTCCCCAAAAAAACCAAGTACAAAACAAGGTAAGCTTAAAACTTCTTTTTGAACAAAATTTCGAGTCATGTCATAAGGCACAAAACATGTGAATTTCAATGGCTATTAAACCTCAACATATGGACAACATCAACAACAATCCTAACAACCACCACAAATGACATTTTAATGCAATAGAACCATGGAAAGGAAGAGTTCTCATCTTGTTCACAAATCAAAGCATAACCTATAATGAAGACTCACCAATCATGATTAACCATGCATAAAGATCACGTCATAGGATAGAATGACCCAGCAAACTAGGTCCTCACCGGGGTACATGATAAGAACAAAGCATGAGGAATGAATCACTCACTCTCGACCAGTGGGGTCAGGACCATTTTGATGCAAAAGATGTGCATACTCAAACGCTCAGCCCTATCGTCTCTTCACCATGACAGTAGCCTCTAAATGTTAGAGCTCACAAGATGGTTATCATCACTAGCTTGTCCGGAGGTCTCCGACACGGGTTCGAATGACTGGCTAGGGTCTAGGACATGGGGAAAAGGCTTTTTGGGTGGTGGAAAACATAGCATGAGATTCCACTTCTTTAACCTAAACCAACACAAGGTTCTAGTTTCGACTAGAACCTTCTTCTACAAGCAATGGTCACTAGCATTGGCCAAAGACCACACTTCCCTCAATTCCAAATCGCCAATCATTAAACCATTCACAACACACTTTCTTTCGTACATTTGTTATTCAATTTCAAGCGCAAGAGTGTGGTAGGTAAATACAATGTAAGTGTTCCTATAGCTTGCATGCCAAGCAATACTTCTAAGAGCATGTTGAACAGTTTTTTTTGTGGTCACTCTCTTTTCTTCTTTGCCCTTTTTATTGCTTTCTTTTTTTTTCATTTCTTTTTCTTTCTTTACTCTTTTCTTTGAGGTCTAGACGAGAGCTAGGACATATCACATTTTTTCATTTAAGGAACAATACTCACTTTTAAGAACTACCTCCACACTCACTTCACATTCTTAGCAAAACCATACACAAATCACTCATGTGGAACCTCATTTAAGCTCAAATGGTATGAATGGAGCTTCCAAACACAATGGTGACTCTAAATGGTGTAGACTCGAAGAAAGCATGGCCATTCTATCTATCTCAATCAAGCTCAAGTAGCAAGAGCTACCTAACACTAGAGCGACCCTTAGACACACGACTCAAAAGGGTTGACTAAGAGATCATTCAATCGGGACAAGTCAAATTTTGGGTCATGGACTAAACCTATGCCTCCATCTTTCTTACTAGTGACAACGTGAATGCTACACATCATGGTATTAGAGATCTATCACACAAGAAGAAAACGAGCGGCACAAATCTCAGATGGTTACCTAGATGCTCAATCATTCATTCCAATTTCAAAAATTTCGATGCATGGAAATGGTGATCAATGATAATCAATCCAAAATATCCATTGGTTCGCAAACACATGAGAACTGAACATTTACACAACCCTAATGCATATAGAATATATCATTTCTTGCTATGGGGCCCAGAAAGCGCTTGTGGATACAATTGTACGAACATCAAATGCTAGATATCTTATGCGCAGGCTTGTTGAAGTAGTTCAACACATTGTTGTAGGTAGAATAGATTGTGGTACTACCCGAGAAATCTCTGTGTGTCCTCGAAATGGGATGATATAGGAAAAAGTTTTTATCAAACGATAAATTGGAGTTACCTAGGAGGTCTAGTATAAATTTTAATTCTATTCGAATCTATTTACTTTCCATATATTTTATTTATACTTTATTTTTCCATAAATATATTCTTTTTTATGTGGATAGAGATTCATTAAGAAATTGAAGTATATTAAATAGGCCCTTTTAACTCAGTATTGGCCTAGCATAGTGCTTTCGCCGTTGGTGGTTTTTTCCAAATTTCACCACTCCATCGAAAATTCTCTCTCCCCTTACAGTTGCCATTTTGGCAGCTCCACCACCTGTCCAGAGTTGAGCCCTGGAATTTAACAACGAACTTAAAAAGCCACATACGTTCGCTTTGCGCCCAATCATTCTGGACAACGCTTGCATCTGGGTGGAAGAACTATAATTTGTGGCAATTCACCAAAACTGCATGAGATATAGAAGATACACAATTCATCACCAGGTTTGTCCATCTCCCAACAAACCCCAATTTTTTTATAATTGCTTCAAAAACAATTCACTCAACTCGAAATATTGAAGCCTCATACATCACTTTAGTCCAACAGAATATAGTGCCACATTTACTGATGTAGCTAAGGGTAGAAAACAGGACAGGAACGGGTACCCATTCCATTTCTCTTTGGAGGGATAATCCATCACATGTCCCAAATCTGTAATAGGTTAATGGATACCCATTACCTATACGTAACGGATAACATATACTCAATTTAACCATAAATACCCAAATCCTCCACACTACATAAAACTGGAAATCTGAAACTCAGCAGGCAATTAACTGATATAAAGTTGAACTGCTGAACTGCAGCACCATAAACCTCATCAGGCGGCGACTCATAGCGGCGAACGATTCCTCGGATGTCGTCATCTGTGGACTGTGGTGGTTGCTTGATTTATGTCTTAGGAAGGAGCTTGATTTATAAAGATGGAGAGGCAAAAGAAAAACTGAATCATTTTAATTGATGGTGGCAAATGGATTGGTCCATAGATTGGTGGATTGAATTGATGGATCCATGGATCAAATGTATTGGATCCAACTCAACCAATGACCAATATGTAAAATGTGAAAAGTTTAGGTACTAAAATGTCATAATGAAAAATTTTAGGTACAAAAACGTAAATTTTCAATGATATTTTTTGTATACAAATTAAATTTTGGGTACCAAAATGTAAAATATAAAAAGTATAGGTACATAACCGTAATTTGCCATTTGGATCCATGGATCAATCCATGAATCCACCAATCCAATTGGATTTGGATCAAATGGATTGGATTATATGGATATTTTTAATGGGTTGGTGGATTGGATTGAGAATTGCCACTTCTAGCTGCGAGCTACATCGATTTAGGTATTTTGGGGCTCGTCTCCAGTGGGTCAAGACTCAAGACAGTGTTATTAAAGCTGAGCTGAGCCGCTCGGCCCGACAAGTAAAACCACCACCCGGTCACAAAATCGGCTCGGAACAGTCTAAAAGCCGCTCCGGTTTTATGTAGCGGTTGACGAGCGGCCGAGGCGGTTAACCGCTCGAGCCGATCGAGCCGCTCGTACGATTTTTGCCATTAAGCCGTTAAATTTAATTAAAAAATTACAGAAAATTAAAAATTGAAATAAATAAAAAATGTTGGGCTTCAAACTGAATCCTTATTTCCATTTCACAATTTCGAAGGAAAGAGACGAATTCTGATTAAGAATTGTCCACTATTTATACTGATAACGTTTATTAGGTACCAGTTCTCTAACGGTTTTTAAACGATCTAATGCCGGTTGGACCACTAAAGTCCGAGCCGTTCACATTACCAGGTCATGCTCCGATTCGGTTCTGATAACATTGCTCGAGAGGCTTTCTGGGCCCATCTGCAACTTTTCACTCTCTGGCCTCGCGGGATCCATGTCCAACTCTTATGGGATGACAAGTTTAATGGGTATTACGCGTAGGGCTGCAAATGAGCCGAGCCGAGTTTTACCTTAGCTTGATACTTCATTTTGTATATTATGATACACATGATTTATTTTGTTAGCTAATCTCATATTATACTTTGTTGGTATCATATATCATTTAGTTTAAATTTTAACTACTCCAAATCATGATATTACATAGTATCGAAGCAATCTATGATACATAATTTCTTTTTAAATTAGAAAATAGGATATATTTGCTCACATACTCAACGCGTTAAACTTTATATATGATGAGATATATAATTTAACAACCATATGAATTAAAATCATAAGATATAGATTGATTCGTCCATAAGTCGGTAATCGAGTTGGCTCTCTAGCCACATGTTGAGACATATCATGAGCTTTAAACGAGCCAACTCATGAGTTTAGCTCAACAAGTTACCGAGTCGAGCTAGCTCGCGAGCTTCACGAGCGGAACAAAGTTTAGCTCATGTTCTGGTCGTCTATTAACGAGTCGAGTTTCAAACGAGCTTTTTTCGAGTCGAACGTCGAGCCGCTCGCCAGCAGCTCGGCTCATCTGCAGCCCTAATTACGCGTACTCAAAATACCCAAGCAAGATTAGCGGGTAACCCACGAATATCCAATCTAGAAATTCTACATCCCAAGTCCCATGATAAATTATGAGGGTATTATTAATACCCGTAAACCCTCAAAATACGGGATGAGTATGAGAATATCCATTTTCCAAGCAAATTGAGTTGACCAAGAGGGAGGGCATATGGTTGCATGTATTCTGCACCATGGTTCCCATGGTAACACCTTGATTAAGCTTTCAACAAGAACTTAAATTACACTCAGATATATGATTGCCCTTGAGTCACCACATAAAAAACAATGACACAGCTAAGGCCTATATAATTACTAGCAGCAACCACAAGAGGCAGAGGGTTTCTACTTCTCAAGGCTTTCAAAAGGCATTTGTTCCCAAAAGAATGAAACTTACAAGGGTCGAACTACTATTTGAAACACCATTTACAAACTAAAACAAAGAGAGCCATCCACACCACAACAGACCAGAAGAAGTTCAGTTCCATTCCAACAGCCGACCACCCAATTCCTTCAATGAAAGACAAAATGGAGATCACTTAATTCACCTTCCCTGATTTCTCTTCCACAGGTTCACGCAGGGTTCCTAGCATCCAAACCATCCAAATGGGCCACCTAGTTCACCTTCCCGGACTTCTCTTCCTCAGGTTCACGCAGGGTTCCTAGCATCCAATCCATCCAAATGGTGTAGTGCCCGTAATTGTGACGGTAAGTAGTGTGGTGAATGGTATGGTAACCAGCACCCATAACAGGCCACAGCTTCCCATGAATGCAGTCATGAATGTTGGCTGTCCATACGCCTTCCAGGAACAATAGAGCTATATGTGTCCTAAAGTGGGTCGGAATTATAAAGAGAGCTAGTGCATGTGGCAATGCTTGCAGGATCCCGTCAACTGGATGGAAGGCCAAACCTGAAAATTAAACCAACCAGGCAACAACAGCAGCCAGTTTGGGATCCTGATCAGAATTCAAAGAGCTCATGTTCAACATTAATTGAGAGAAAGATATTCATAACCCTATTGTTCAAGCAAAATTGAATCCACGTGCACAAGAAACAGAATCATAAGAATCTCGAATCTGTCTATAAGTGCGACGAAGAAGAACTGACCAGCAAATGGAGACAGAGTATTCTGCTTGTTGTAGATGTGATGAGTTGCATGAAGATACTTGTACAGAGGTTTGATATCATGGAGTTCTCTGTGCATCCAGTAAATCCCAAACTCCACAAAAATTAGATATATGGCAAGGTACACAAGGTAGAGACTCCACCCAACCTCGGATATCCCGGAATAACACTTGGTCCATCCATTTTCGATCAAGTGCTCGCACACAGTTGGAAGAAGAGTGTACCATGGCATGGCTTTCATGGCGACATAAATTTGCATCAGCATTCCTTTATTGGAAGGAATAGCATCTGCAGTTAAGATTTCTTCACGGGATCAGTACAACAGTACTACTACTATTATTATTGTCAACATAGTTGAAGGTGGAATAGCCCGTTGGCACGGGAAAGGCAGTTAAGGATTCGACAGTGAACAAACATGACAGTATGGGCAGATAGTGCCATATCTCCCCATAATTAACTTCAGGTACTGAACAAAACCAGACAGAATTCAAGTTCCCCATATGATAAAAGTGAGTGTTGCCCATGACTCTATGTCATGATTCTGAACTGGCAAAACCCCATCATGGGGAAAAACTATAATTCTGGAATATGTTCTCCAAGCACATGATTCTCAACAGAACAGAACAAATTCAAGGAGTAGGGATTAATAGAAGACTTGGTAATGGGAATCATCTCATATTCGGCCGCATCCCACTTTTGTCTGTTAGTCAACTAGCCAGCCACTTGATATTCCGCCAAAAAATATCTCAGAAATAATGCCTTCTGAAGAGAAAGCTACAAAGTAGCAATAAAGAGGTCTTTTTCATGTATACAATACGAGCAGATTATAGACACATATCGTGATAGCAGGCAAGCAGAGAAAGAGCCATATGTAGCATATTTGGAGCAGGCAGCTCAGCTGGAAACAGAAACAACTCTGATAGAGACAAGGGCAAAACTGAGAAGGGTGAGAACAAGGCAAGGAGCACATATATATTTTGCTAATTTAAAACCAACACCAATATTTTGACATGATTGTAAAGAAGAAACAAAAGTCCCTTTCGGCTAAGAGTCCCACTACCAGATTGTGATGCAAGCTAAAGCGGAAGGAGAATGATTGAAATGGGGAAATATGAGTGAGATCTGAAAAGGGTTTAGATCCGAATCCACCAACCCATCATGACGCAGAAGAAGCTTGAATTAGTGGTGTTTGTGATGGGCATAAACCCCAGATCCGGAGATTAGGCGTACCTTTGGGGAGGTAGACGTTGCGGTAGAGGTGGTAGATGTAGAAGGACCAGAGGAGGCCGGAGAGGAAGTAGAGAATGGTGCCGGCGATGTAGTTACGGAGCCAGGTCTGGAGGAAGTGAGGGAGTGGCGCCCACCAGGTGGCCGGCAGGAGATTCGCCAGCACAATGCTGTTGTACATTGACGTTTCCTCCACGAACTGCCGCAGATACTCGCTGCTCCCTATCGCCATCTCCATCGCCGGCAGGTCCGGTTTCCGCTCCGACCACAAACGCCAAGTAGGCGGAGGGAGGGATAATTGAGACTAAAAAGAGAAGGGGGTTTATGTGGGTTTTTTTAAAGCGGGATAATTGGAGACGAGCGAACTGCGAGAGAGAGAGAATGAGGGGATATTATAGCCTCCGCAGGCGGCAACTAGCGGTGGGGCACGGTGGTGGTGACTGGTTATGTGGTGGGTGAGAGACAGACAAGAGAGACAGCGAGAGCGAGAGGGAGACTGGGAGAGGGAGACGGAAAGTAGGAAGTGTTTGGCAGCCACTTTAATTTCTCTTGGAGTTGCAGTGTCCGTCCGTGTGCTTTCTCCCTTTCGTATTTTTCTTTTCTTTTCTCTCTCTCTTGTGAGAGTGAGGGTTGTTTGCTTTGAAAAAAGAAGGTTTTGATAATAACTTAGATTTTGATAAATTATGGATATATGAGGGTTTTTTTCCCTAAAAAAAAAATTTCATTGTTTGTTTCATGAATTTTTTATATATGAAAGATCAAAATTTCATTAAGAGCCGACACCAATAGCAAAGAGCGTTATGGAGTCATTCAAAAACAAACAGCATCCTATACAGCATAACCCAAAACAAGGGAACCTATCTAACAAACCAAAACAAAACACTACACCAAGCCCCTAGAATCGTAGCAATCGATCAAAGCCTGATTCTGGAGACAACCACTTCTAATACTTCGTTTAGCAACAAGGATTAGCTGAGAAGGACTTCGTGCAACACCAGTACCATACAACCTGGAGCACCTTTCACGCCAGACAAGACTTAAATTCACACGACAGAAGATAGCATCAACTGTATCCCCTTTCCACTTCTGCAAACACCACTGTAGAACCGCTTGCCAGCTATCACAAACAGGAGGAGAGTCATTCTGCAAAATGACATTATTCATATGCTGAACATATGGACAAGCAGAGAATAGGTGCCACCGATTCTTCACCCCACCAGGCATAGACAACACATTCCAGAAACTTGCTTACCCCAAGCCAGAAGTTTGTCCTGCAACTTCATGCTGTCATTGATCACCAACCAAAGAATAAACCCATGCCGTGGAATGGTGAACTTGCCCCAAACCAAATTAAACCAAGAGACCACAAGATCATGCTGCCTCAATGATTCCCAGACTCGCTTGACAGAATAAGGGTGCATAGGTTCCCCATCCCAACACAATTCACCCCCATTGCAAGAAACAAAGGGTCTAGTTGAATCCCTGCACTTCAGGATTCGTTTCCAAATCCAAGCCCCAGCAACTGAAGCCTGCAAATCCCACAATGAGTTCTGCTTGGGGAAGAAAACTTTACATTTATTGCCCTCAATTATATAAGAAGAGGAAGAAAATATAGAGGGGTATGTTGGTAAAAAATGATGGGCTTCAAAGTCCATGATCAATTTCAACCTAAAGAAGTGGGATTTTCAAGTCAAAGGGCCTCACGGATTTGGACACTCAAAGTCCATGGTTCCCACGGATTTGCTACCTCTAAATACTTGAAGCAAACAATGAATTTTGGACTAAGTCCATCATAACCCCAAATCTATCACCAAATCCTTCACCAAATCCACCAAGCAAACAAGCCCTAAAAATCTAAAATCCATGCCATGTGGTTTATATAATTTTAGTGTAATGTCTATTTTTTATCCAAATATTTTAAAGATTTTTTTTATATTATTCAAAACTATTAAAATGCTATTAATTAGCCAAATCTTTCATAATGCATCAAAATATTAGCCATTTTTAAGATATCGTTAATAATCTTGTAATTCTTTTCTTAGTTAAAATACTAAAATTTTGGAATGTTAACCTTCATGTGTCTTTTCCAAGTCAGTATCATGTTGTCAAGTCAATATTACTAACACAATTGCTAACTGAAAGTTCATATTTGGCCCCCACGGATTTGGACACTCAAAGTCCATGGTTCCCACGGTTTTGCTACCTCTAAATACTTGAAGCAAACAATGAATTTTGGACTAAGTCCATCATGAACTCAAATCCATCAAGCAAACAAGCCCTGAAAGTCTAAAATCCATGCCATATGGTTTATATAATTTAAATGTAATGTCTATTTTTTATCCAAATATTTTAAATATTTTTTTATATTATTCAAAACTATTAAAATGCTATTAATTAGCCAAATCTTTCATAATGCATCAAAATATTAGCCATTTTTAAGATATCGTTAATAATCTTGTAATTCTTTTCTTAGTTAAAATACTAAAGTTTTGGAATATTGACCTTCATGTGTCTTTTCTAAGTCAGTATCATGTTGTCAAGTCAATATTACTAACACAATTGCTAACTGAAAGTTCATATTTGGGTAATTCTTAGTATTTCGATAGGTTTGGATAATATAAAAGAATCTGAAAATGTTTGAATAAAAAATAGACATTACCCATAATTTTATTCTTTGTTCTTATTTTATAATATTAAATTATTTGGGAAAACAAGTCTTGGCAACTTTTTTGAAAAAAAAAAATCTACAAAAAAATTTCTCACTATACAACACTTAAAAAAAATCAAAATGTCTAAGTTTAGTTGAGTTCGCCACATAGCAAACTGGACCACAAAGTAATTCGCCTATTAGGGGAGCGAACAAAATTATTCGCTTGAAAAACAAAGCGGCCTAGAAGTGCTTCGCGGGTCTAAGAAGCGAACTAGTATGGTTCGCGGGTCTGCGGAGTGAACTACTTAGGTTCGCTAAAACATTAAGCGAACTACAATCGTTCAGTGGCGGATACATGCATGTTTAGGGGTGTCCCCTAAAATTTGGAAACACGATTATTCAACCACCGATAGTAGTTTGCGTGTAAGCACAAAAATGTTTAAATGGTAGTGGGACACCATTAAAATTTGAGAAAATGCTTATCCGACCTCGCGTAGTAGTTTGCGTATTGGTACAAATAATATATAAGTAATAGTCTATGTGATTTAAATTTGGGACACTGCCTTTATTGGTAAACCTATTTTCAATTACACTACAACTCATTTGTCATTGTGTTTTAGATCCAAATATAATAGTAAAATGTTAATCTTATTTTTCAAAACTTAGCAATGAACCCAATTACCGGATACCCTTGTCTAATAGGATATGTCGAGAGATATTTGTTGAGTAGTATAAACACCGGATGTATTTTATCATTTTACGAAACACGGATGAACTTTTTAATGTAACTTTTATTATTTAGATATTTTCATATTTAATAGTTATTTATTTAAATTAAATTTTTGGGAGAGGACACCCCTATGTAAAATTCCTAGATCCGCCACTGCAATCGTTCACTGCCTATGAACTTTGAATAAACCTTTCTACCGAAATATTTATACATAGTTCGCTTCCAATGTAAGTGAACAACTTGGTTCACTACAAGTGCAGCAAACCACAATCAATAATTTCGTGAAGTCGCTTTTTTACCAACATGTCTTAGGGCAGAGCGTAGGGATAGGGTTTCCTAGTTGGAGTGAATCGTTGGGCTTGGCAGTGAACAAAAATAAATACCCAGCACCCTTTCAGCTCATTCCTCTCTTCATTCTACAAAAAACAAATAGCAAAACAACTAGAAAGAGCAAGAAACTTTCAGTAAAGAAAAATGAGGTTCATTGAGCTTTTGCCATTTGAAGGTTTCAACCATTGTCTGCCTATAATCCAAGTAGATGAAACCTTTATGATGTAAAAATACAAGGACACTCTACTCATTACCATAAGTGTCGATGGCAATAAACAAGTATTCGTACTTGCATTTGTTTTAGTTGAATCAGAGAACAACGAAAATTAGTCATGTTGTTTCCTCCAACTATACACTCGTGTCACTTAATGGAAGGACTTTGCTACCCTTTCTGATCGTTATCGTGGCATTGCGCATGCAATGTACGATTTGCTTGAGGTGTTTGTATGGAAGTGGCGATGGTGGACAAACATGCGCTTGTGCAAAATTATTTCAACAAAAATATTGTAGCTCGATGGTGTGAATGGTCTGCTGAATTTTGTTATGCATATATATAATGTAGGTTCAAACTACCATAACCTCATATTTTTCTAAACTCTGCTAAATAATAAGTTTAAATATGGAATGATGGTGTTTCGAACATAGGACCTCTTGCACAAAGACAAACAACTATGCCAAGGAAAGATTTTGAATTTTATGCGAAAACAAAGTATTAACACAAACCGCCCCTACCCGGTGCGGTCACCAAAATCGCCCCCTACCCAAGCGTTTTGGTCGATAACTGTGTCCCCACACAACAATTTTCGAGAAAGAGTTGTATTTTTGGAATTTTTTGAGATTTGGTGATATTTTTATAATTATTTTTTTAAATAGTGGTATTTCCGAAAAAAGTCATAGCATCTTGCCCAAGAAACCACCACTCATTTCAAAGGTGAAACCTTTGTACCAAATTCATTATTTAGTCCTTTTTTTCTATTTTGCATAAGTCCCGTCTGGTTGGTCCTCATCCAATTCTTCCACTTTTCATGTCAGGATCATGAACGTGCATACTTTGATTCAGCTGATTGTGCACTTGGAAAGGTTTTCAACTAGTTTATATGTTGTACTCTCTCTTGACGACAATGAAATTATATCTCCATTGGAGCTACTGACATGATGCTATATCATGAATGAGAACAGCAAGGTGTGGAGAAGCCCAAAGGACCACTCGAGGCTCTTCGACCCAAGTTACATGTACAAATCAACACTAGACTTTCTCTTATCATCCCTGGTACTTGTTTATGCTTTTGTATGTTTCTTGATTCAGGCGGTAGTCATTCTACTTGCATCTCATTTACTTGACTGTGGTGAGATTGATTGAAATGTTTTATTCTTAGTTTTGGATGCTATTAGAATTTAGTCATACATTCGAGGGTTGAAGTAAGAAGTTGCTTATAAATTAGGTGGATCTATTATGAGGTTCATTGTTTTCCAAATTTATGAGACAGTTTTATGCTCTTCACGCAGTTTCATGTTTGACATTCAGTTGAAATTCATTTTATCTGTCACAAGTGTGAAAAATATACTCCGCGTCCCAGCTGATCGTGCATTTTATTTTTAGAATTAATACACTTGTATATCCAAAACTTTCACGGTTGTGCCAATAATATCCAAATTTCCCGAAACACCACTTATATCCATGTTTTAAAGTTGTTCTTTGCCAAATCTATCCATTTCCCAATATATTTTTGGTTAAATACACTTGTATATCTAAAAACACCGTTAAAAATGTGAAAGAATTGGATATAAGTGGTATTTCGGGAAATTCGAATATTATTGGCACAACCGTGAAAGTTTTGGATATAC